CATTAGCATAACCCTTTAAAAGTAATTGTCAATGTTTGCTTTTTGACAGTAGGTCACACTCCAAGGTCAAGGTCAAAGGGTCAAGGGGTCAAAGTTCTTGGTATCTAAGGAATGGTCTTTTCACAAGGATAATATATATGAAGTATGAAAGCCCTATCCCTCACCGTTCAATGAAAGGTCTTGCCACATAGAATTCAATTGAAAGTATTGAAGCCCTAGCCCTAACCGCGCAGAAGTTATGACCAAGGTTATATTTTCTAAAAGTAGGTCGAACTCCAAGGTCAAGGTCAAAGGGTCAAAAGTCTTGCTATCAAATAACAATCTTTGTCACAAGCATTAAATATTTAGAAAATTAAAGCATTAGCCATAACCCTTTGAGAGTTATGGTCAATGTTTGCTTTTTTACAGTAGGTCACACTCTAAGGTCAAGGTCAAAGGGTCAACGTTTTTGATATCTAATGAATGGTCTTTTCACAAATTACATATGTGAAGTATGAAAGCCCTATCCCTCACCGTTTAAAAGTTATTGCCTAGGTTAAAGTGTTATAACAAGTATCGAAATCTCCAAGGTCAAGGTCAAAAGGTCCAGATCGTTTGTATCCTATGAAAGTTCTTGCCACAAAAAATACAAATGTAAAATATAACTAGAAACGATCTTGTTGCGAGCAACGAGAGGTCTTCCGCCTGATTCCAAAAAATAACCCTAAATCGAGCTGAAAATCTGTTAAGCATTTTTTTGGACACAATGGTAATTGAACCGTGTCACTAGCGTGAAAATCTGATACGCTTATCGATTACGCTATTTAAACAACTTCTTTAAATTCACTTGTATGTACATGTAATTCTGCAAGAGTTAATATGTCTTGGGATTATGAATGGAGGGTCACTTTTCATGATTTCGCACCAAACGCCACGAGTAAATCTTAGCACCTTTCCCTTGGAATGTTCTATTAAATAGGTGAGATGGTTAATTTTTTTTTTAAAGAATTTTCCTGTGAATCACGAAAGTGGATTATTCCGATTACCTACCCTTTCATGAAAAAGGTGGTGTGTTTCACCAAAAAAAATGATTCGATCGCCCTACGAGGGTCAAGGAATAAAATTCAATTATGTTCAACTTGCATTGAGAAAAAAATGTCTATATGAAGTCAATTAAACGGTCTTTTAAAACTAGTTGTCTTTTTTATGCTTATTGTAACACTTGTCTTTTCTATTAATTTAATATGACACAAGTGTGCATGGGAAAAACAGTGGTCATGTTTTATACTTACTATATATATTGTATCTTAAAAACCTATTACTTATAACTAAATGTACGATTTAAGCTATGTGTTTCCGTCATGCAAAACAAAAGATAGTAGGTATTGTACTTAATTTGCATATTAATTCTTTCTATTTCCACCTTGAGAAACAACTAAAACCAATTAAAGAAGACATGTAAGGAGGCCTTGAAATTTTAATGTAGGTTGACACAGAATTGCAACGAACCTACGACGTGACAATCCAAGTATTCCTTCATATTTAATTGCTCCTTATGTTACTTTCGTTCAAGCAAACGCTCAGCTGCCTCTGTAAACCCATATTGCGAAATGTCGGAGTTGACAGAGACCGCCGCCATTTTGGTCCCGCTTCAAATTTTTGATTGTTAATATCTTGAGTTTGGATTTATCAATTTAAAAACAAATTATATATTTAGCCTAATTGAAAAGGTTTCTATTCACCATTTTAATATAATTCCAAAATATTGAAAAACAAAAAAGTTAAAAAATTCGACTTTTTAAATTCGCCTGCAGTAACGACAGAAAGTAGAGACGACGTAGGAAAGATTGCATCCTGGATAGTACTTATCACGATCTATAATCCCTGAAAGTTTCACAGTGATATCGTTTACCGTTCTTGAGATTAACCGCAGACAAAATGTCATTTTAAAATCAGAAAATTGTCCGTAACTTGGCACCAGACAAGAATTTTCAAAAAATCTCTCGGATAAAATAACTTCAGATAACAACACGTCGTTCCTGCAAATTTCATGAAAATCCATTTAGTAGTCTTTGAGAAATCGCGTGCACAAAATTAGATGTACAGAAAAATAATAAGAAGAAGAAACAGTAGAATCACTATAAGATCTTCCGTGAAGACGGAAGACCTTAAATATCCTGGTTACAAATGTTCAAAAGATATGGTCAAAGTAAAAGTTTGGAATTTTTGTGTCAAAGTGGATCAATCTCCAAGGTCAAGGTCAAAAGGTCAAATTTGGTGGGAACCAAAGAAAGCTCTTGTCACAAAAAATACACATATTAAATATGAAAGTCATAGCACTACCAACTCAAAAGTTATGGACAATGTTAAAGTTTTTGCGGACAAACAGACAAACAGAGGGGCAGACAGACAGACAGACAGACGGACAAGACAAAAACTATATACCCCCGAAACTTTGTTTACGGGGGCAGGGAGACAGACAGAGAGTCAGACAGACGGACAGGCACGACAAAAACTATATAACCCCAAAACTTCGTTAACGGGGGCATAAAAAAACAAATGACATTCTGTAAAAACTGAAATTATTCCAAATTTTATAAACGATTGTAGTATATAAAACAATGTCCCATTTTTTTTATAACTTACAATGTAGCTTTCCTATTTGATTTTAGCTAATGAAAAGAAACACTCGAATGCTACATGATATATTGTCAGTTTTGATCTGATTTTGCGCCAGCTTTACTTGCCTCTAAATGAAAAAGGCATTTCCTTTTTATTACGTCGACCTTGACTTTCCTAAAATTATCCATGATCAGAAAGTCATGGGTTCGAACCCCGTCCGCAACAGTATTTTTTTTTCGTATTTGACTGACATAAACTGACATACAGAAAAAAATATTTCTTGTAAGAATGAGTCTTTTTTAGCTTTATTCCTTGGTTAATATATTTTGATTTATTTTTATACCTCCAAATGTCTTTTCAGTGACAACACTTCCATCTTGCCAACAAGCGGTACCGCTGACCTTTTCATGTAATTTTCGAGAAGCGTCAACTACAACAATGTAGAAAGCCCTTCTAGTCAGGTAAATCTGATGACAGGCGTTGTAAATATTTTGTCCTCCAAAGTCATAAACACTCAGTCGTTTGGCGTTTAAGTCTCCTTCGAAATCTTTCCTTTCTTTATCTGTTTTCATTACTGTTTCCGTAGAAATTAATGTAATTAGTTAAGTATTGTAAATGCACACACAAATTAACAAACACAGACACTCGCGCACGTGTTTCGCTTTAAGTATTTTGTTTCTTCTTTATTTGTATTTTTCATTTTACTTCTTTTTACTTAAATACAATCTTCTCCGTAAGATTAATTTAGAATAATTATTTTATTAAACTGGAAGAGTTTGTGAACGAAGATGTCCCAACATTGCAGTTACTGGTATATTTTCTTGAAAATAGGTCAATCTAAATAGGCAAGTTTTTCGGAACAAAAAAGTACCCAAAGATAAGTCTTAAAAGTGAAATATGAAAGTCCTAGCTCTTACCCTTCAGAAGTGATGGACTGGATTAGACCTTAAAAAAGTATGTCACACCCTAATTTCAAAGCCATTAGTCAAAATTTATTTACCCAGATACACATACAGCAGACATAGGAATAAATTAAAATCTATTCCCTAAAAATCAATAATACGGATTTAAAAATATGAGAAGTTTGTCTGCCTTTATTGACATTATTAGAATTTTCTTATGCATAATTCAACAATATAAATTGATCAGCTATTAAATATCGTATCTGCAACAAAAACATTCCTTACTATTGATAAAAAGGAAAAAAAATGGTTTTTCATATACCCGTATCTCTATTTTAAGTACGAATATATACATTGAAAGACGTCCCTCTTTGGTATAAAACAGAAAAAAAATAAAGGTAGAAGTAATTCGTAATATTTAAAACAAATTTAAAGATTAAATTTACATATAAACAAGAATAGATATGGTTTACCCCATATCCGTAGATATTCGACTTTTAGATTTGATATGTGTAACAGTGTTTAATGACTTTTTGAAAAAACTGCATTGTCTAGATATGGAACTGGTGTAAATATTTCGTGAGTCCGTAGCATTAAGTTCGCCCAGTCTCCAAACAAACAGTAAACATTCCTGTGTCCGCAAGATCAGTTTGCCTTGGTCCACTCTATAGATGGAGTTGTCAAACGCATCTAGTGAGCTCGGAGAAACACGTTATTTATTGCCGAGAAGTTACCCTGGACAAAATTTTTTTTTTCTTAATTAGATCATATGAATACGAATTCTGATTAATAAAAATTAAACAATCCCGGTTTTCAGTTTAGAAATCTCCAACCCCGTTGGGTTTTGCTACACATTTTATGCTTACGCTCCCTACAGTTAACACAGTCTACTCACGAACAGAATCTGGCCAGGGATTCTGCTCGAAAAATTCCGTAATTTAATAATACACACAGAATGATAATATTTTTTCTTTAAGAGGAAATTGTATGGTAATTAACGGACAAATAAACATGAACTTAATTCAATTGTTGAATTAGTATTATCAATTCATTGGTGAAAAGATATCAATTGCAGAATGACCTAGATATTCTCTGTTATCAAACATATTTAAAAAAAAGACTGAGGAGGGAGCAAGCGTAGGAATTTTGATATTTTTTATTTGCATTTCGGGGGGGGGGGGGGGGGGGGGGGGGGAGTGATTTTCTAAAAATATTTTGACGTTATTTTTGGTTTCTTTAACGTATGATATACACAACATTTTTCTTATGATGAACAATAATGTTGTATTTACCTATCATGATGGAACTATTTTCGTCGGAATATTTTGTGTGAGTCGCCGCTGACTACAGTAATTATCTTGAACAGATAATAAGCACTGATCGAATATATTAAAATGGGACTGTTTTAAGGAATCTTTGGAGTTTCTATTTTTTTGGTTTACCTATATAGCAATTTGAAGCGATGTTATTTAAAAAAAATATCTAAGCATTTTTCACCTTTCAAAGATTCATCCGAAATCTCAAATATTTCTTCATGAACTTCCAGGCCTTTTGTCGTCGTTACGTTTAATATTTCATTATTACTACGTTTCAGAAGTCGTTTCAGTAGCGTTGTCTTTCCGGCTCCTGCACATCCCACAATCATCGCTCTTGAGTGATGCACATTTTGTGTTCCTTTCTTGGCGTATTCAACGTAACGTTCTCTGGCTTTTTGATCTCGGTTCGTTATTTCTAAAGGAACCTTCACTACAAAATCAAATGATATCAAGAATTACAATAAATAAGCGAAGAAAATTATTTTATCTGCTTAATAAAACAAAAATAACTTATCACAATGCATACATACATTATGATGTATAACAGATTTTTTAAGTTTATGTGTTGTAAAACAAGTACCAGGGTATAAAGGCTGCTTGAATAAATTGTGCTGCAGAATTTTATACAGCATTTTCTTCAATAAAAAACATGCACAGATTGTTTGTTCAATTGGTACATTTTCAATCCCTACCATGACAAAGATTTCAAGCATTTCTAGACAAATTCATATTCAGATTTTAATGCATTTTTTTTAGTATTTCTTGTAATTTTTGTATATACCAATGTATATATATTATGAAAGCAGGTATTGTGTAGTTTCTGAAAATGATTATAAAAATATAATTTCAGTTGCAATGGCAACGAAATACACCATAATCATGCTGGAACATTTATTGAAGAATGAGTTTCATTCTATTTTTTTTATTTTTTTTATTTATTTATTTTTTTTTTGGCTTTGTTAAATATATCTAAAAATATTTTATTGTTGTGTTGAAGATTATGAGAATGTTGTACATTTTTTACAAACCAATTGTAAGTAGTTTCGGGGAATGGGGTGGGGTTGGGAGGTAATCACCAGAATATAGCATTTTTACATAAAGCGTATTAAACCCCACCCCCCCCGCCCCTTAGATTTCGAAAATGGCAAAATAGCTAAAATAGTAGGCAAGGTTTAACTCAAGCTAGCAAAAAACTGGTACAACCAATGAAAAAAAATTGTTTATTATTTTATCTTCATTATTTTCTCTTTCCTACGGTCATGATTTTTTTCTGATCTCTGCAGTATTAACAAAATTATGAATGTTTTTTCATACTATACTCGTTTTTCAAGTCAGATGCGTAGAAATGCGTATATGCCATGTAAAGGGTTAAAGTCACTTTGTTTATCTCATTTTTTTATGTCTTCTATTTATAAATTGAAATCTGTCTCTTTAAAACTTTATATTTTTAGTTAAAAATGCAAAAATGCACAATTGAATATTGTAAAAAAAAAATAGCCCAAAATTTTCGTATTAAAAGTAATATATAATTAAATCTTTTAGTATGAGACATACTTTTTTCAATGGCAATGTTGCGAATAGTCCAATCGGAAATTGTACATTGTTTGATGATATCCAGATCAAGTCTTTCTATGAAGTGATCATACATTTCCACAGGTTTGTTTGGCACATACAAACATCTCTCTCCGTCCTTCCTTTCATAATTCCAAGACCTGCAGTATTCAAATATTACCTTCTTCGATGCTTCTTTCAGGAAAAACTCCAAATTAACGTCCTCCATTAGACACTCTGTTACAAATGCGTACATGACCTTATGACGGATATCAGCCGAGGCAAAAGTTACTTCACCGCTCTGGCTTTTGACGATTACATCTAGTAAATTAAATTCGTCATCAGAAATTGAATGTTTAGGCAAGAATTTGTCTCTTATTTTTAGCATTATCTTTTTGTATGCGCCATCATTAAGATTGAGTTTGTTGTTTTCGGCAAAGAGTAAGCTGTATAACAAACATCTGACACTCGGAGAGTATTCATGGTATTCACCTAAAAGTATTTATAAAAAAAATTTTATGAAGTGTGTAGATTTAAAAAATAAAGCATGATTATGCACAAATATACAACCAATTAAACAAACATTCTTAAGTTATAAAAACAATGAATCCTAATACATGGTATATAACTGTACTCAAGAGTCTATTGAAAAATACCTGGAAACGACTTAGAGTTAACAAAAAGTTAACAAAAATTAGAAAAATCATATCTTTATTCTAATGAAAGAAACGTTAGTACGTTAATTATACATAGAATTAATCTTATGAACAAAAAATCGGTAATATAATAACTTTTTTAAACATCAACCCATACCACCGGAGAATGCTTTTATTTGAATTATCGCTTACGATTTTGAATCCCTGTAGTTTGAAATCGTATTATTATCATAACAGATCTAGATATTATACGTATATATAAAGATAAATAACTCTTATTCCTAATGAAATTACTAGGTCCCTGGCTTTTCGCTATAAGCGTGTTTTTCTTTTATCATTAACAGTAGACTTACTATGCTTTCTATATGCTTTTTGGTTGATAATATATATATCCGAATGAGGATGAAGTCCTATGCATGATCTCACAATGTCATGCCTATGGAATTTCCAAAGCCATTTGACCTGTTTGTTAGGTATTTCCTCTCCTTTCTGTTGCAGATTCCTCAAAAATTCCTCCCGCTTGTGAAAACTTTCTGTGATGATATTTTCTGGGATGTGTACTGGTGAACAATTAAAAGAGATTCTTATTTATCCTCACAACATAATCACTAAAACTGATTTTTATCTGTAATATGATAGATTTTTTTCTTGAACAGTCACAAAAATTCTAATTTAGAAAGAATAATATTTGCGATGCATGTGAAAATTCTTATATTGAAGAAATATTATTTTATGATTAAAGTCTTTTTGAATGCATAGACTTACAAAACTGAGATATTTGCTTGCTTATTGGGGTACCCTCAATACTCTTATGAACCAGTACGTCCATCATAAGGCGATGCACAAGTAAGTAATCAAAGTGTGCACTTTTGTTAATAATGCATTTCTCTCCACGTTCTTTAATGTAGCTGCTTAATCTTAGGTACTGGTGGCTTGTTATATAATTGCTCATGTAAAATGTTAAAAATCTGCTGTTTTCGGCTAACCGAAATATACTTTCGTCTGCAGCATCCCTTGTTATACTTTGAAAGTCTTTTTCAAACAAACAAGATTCGTTTCGTTTCAGATATTCAAGGGCGTCCAGTGCATTTTTATTACTGATGGGATCCAGATCAGCAAATGCCATGCGTCGTACTTCATTAAGAATTTCCAGCCATTCAGATTTGGTGAAGTCTGGGGAATCGGACTCGGAACATAAGAAGCAAAATAGCACATATAGCTGGTCGCAGCCCAATGTTAAAAAAACATCTAAAACAGGAATGAGATTTTGATTTGAGCGTGCGGAAACCGAGTACTATATGTAAATTTGTTGTTGTATAAGCTTAGAATACCTTCTAAATACAATAAAGATTTGAAAACAGAGTATAAGACTTCTTTTGTAAATAACTTCAATTTCTTTTTTTCTGATAATAGCATTCTGATAATCTGAACAAGAGACCCAGGGGCTACATCGCTCACCTGCGCAACTGGCTAAGTATGTAAAACAAAAAGCAAAAATAAGTCCAGTAAAAGTTTAAATATAAAACTAGGTTCAAGGGAGGAGGGGGAGGTGGGTAATTGAAAAAAAAATCAATCAATAAATATGATACATAATTTTGCTGTTTATAAAATTATTGATATAGCCTTAATATTTCTTTGTAAAACTATGATCATCTTCTGTATGCCTCCTTTATTATTCTGGTTGGTCATGATTCGAAAAAACCTGAATTTAGACTACCCGAGGATGCTTTGTTACACCGCAAAATGTAATGCTTCCATATAAATATGAATAATCACAGCTTTGCCGTTCTTGAAAAGAAGATTTTTTAAAAGATTTTTCATATGTATACATATGTTAACCTTTGATCCCCCAACTTGAATCTAAACTACTAAACTTTTAAAGATTATTTCCCTATGTACGCCTATGTTTGATCCACTATTGTGGTCCCATCCTACCCCTAGGGGTCATGATTTGAACAAACTTGAATCTACACTACCAGAGAATGCTTCCACATGAGTCTCATTTTTTATGGCCCAGAGGTTCTTTAGAAGATTTTTAAAGATTTTCCCTATGCGTTCCCATGTTAAACTTTGACCAGGATCATGGTCACACCCTTCTCCTGGGAAGAATTGAACAAACTTAAATCTTAACTAGCAGAGATGCTTCCACATGAGTTGCATCTTTCCTGGCTTTGTCATTCTTGAGAAGAAGATTTTAAAAAGTTGCCATTATTTTTTCTCTAATTTATACTTATCTCTCCTTAGAAGAGGGCGTGGTCCTTCATTTAAACAAACTTGAATCCCTTTACCCAAGGATGCTTTGTGGCAAGTTTTGTTGAAATTGGCCAAATGGTTCTTGAGAAGAAGATGAAAATGTGAAAAGTTTACGACGCCAACAATAACGACAACAAGAACGACAGACAACGGACAAATTTTGATCAGAAAAGCTCAATAGAGCCTTCGGCTCAGGTGAGCTAAAAATTAAAATATAAACCTGCTTAAAATGCTTTTAGAATGTGTTGACACTTAACTTGATAAGCTTACGGCTATTTTAATGTTTTAATAATATTCTTTACATAGAGCTTACATATACCTGAAACGGTCGTTCTCCAATCACTATATTCCCCAACAAAACGTTTCAGGAAATCTGTAGAAGAGGAAAATACAATTGACGGATAAACGTTCCAAATATTAACATTTTTTCTCAATCACGATACTGAGAGAAAAACCAGAAACATTACCTTAAGTAATACATGTAGTTAGTGTAGTAGCTACTAAACTATTCTACTTTGTAAAGACAAATCTTAACGTCCTTTCAGAGTAAACAAAACAATTATTTGTTTATAACTTTAGAACAAAGATTTCCAGTTCTACTTAATTTTTTTTTTACAAAATTATTTTTGATTAGGAACTATATTGCTATCTGTGAAATAATGGAAATTGTATACTGGATATTGAGTTGTACTTGAAACTTCTCCTTGTTAAAACACATTTTATTCGTTTTCCAAATCATTTATGTTGGATACAATACGAAAGAACTGCACATTTTAGTAATTTTCAAAACACTGTAAAGAGTATTTGTGATGAAGAAATAAATACACATACAACCTATGTATACGATATGACAGACATTTTTGAGAATGTTGTAAGGTTTCTTAAGACGCTAGACAGACTTCGACGGTCACATGACTTCACATTTTATTCACAAAACCGACTTCATTTTATGGAAAAATGAAACAAACTCGAGCGCTTATCAAAGCTATTTAAGAGTTGAATCAGGATTTTCGTCGAAAGCTTAAGTGATGCTGTGCCCAATTCCGTCTCGAGGTCTTGTGCCGATCTGTTAGTTCTGTCCCTCTGTACGGTCTTCGGGCTCTAAAACCGCAACTCTGCAGTCGGTTTCGCACTGTCTGAGGGCTAATCCTCCTCCCTAAAGCATTGTGAGCAGAATCTGTTTCGTAAATGAAGCAAAATCCAGTGGTCTGGAAACGTCTCCAGAGGAGGCTACTTGTCTTTTGAGTTGTTCCGAGAGTCGTTGCAACAGCGTTTTGGGACATGCCTGCTTGGAGCATCCCTATAGAACGTTCACGTTTATCTTTAAACAATCGGGCATTTCAAAAAACGCAGAAATTTAATCAAATTTCTGATTTTCTTTGACGACTAAAGACAAGGATTTTCTACGCCTAGAATTATACGGATACACGTGGTCTGACTTTCTCGAACACGGAATTTTACCCATTGTACTCATTTAGAATTAAAAGGTGTTACGCTTGAATGATCAAGATTTTGTTTATCACAATTGACTGTTGCTTATGTCTCCTATATAAGACCTTTCGTTGTAAACAGTTTACTTTCAAATCTAATTAAAACAAGTTAACTTTTAGATATATATACCTTTTTTTTTGTTCAGTATATAAACTCCGTATGCAGGTGATGGAGGTATATTCTGTATAAGTAAGGGAAGTTGACGATTGTAATCATCACGTTTATCAGAGAGCTTGTTTGTTAAATTACCTTTCACGTCTCTTTCAAGTAAAAAAATCTAAATATGAAACAAATGTGTCAAACTCTGTAGTATCTTTTATCTCAGGTTCACTAGGATATATCTTATTGACACAAGAATGGAAATAAACATTGTTATTTCAATTGACAATAGATCGTCGATATACCTAAATGTTATTAAATGTTTTCATCTTTGTTTTAATAAAATAAGCATCATTCCTCATATTAATTTTATTTCAGTGTAGACAATAAGACAATTTTCCTCCACAAATTGTTTCAAACTGAACATATTTTAAAAGTAACGTCAAGGCGAGTAATACGTTTTTTTTTTGTACATATGTAAGTCATTGTGACGCAGGCAACTAATGTTATGAGATATAAACTAAATCGTTGATCCAATCAAATGATTTATGACGTGATATAGCTAAATTTAAATACTTGTAGTTTAAGGTTGAAAACATAATGCCACAAAAGTGTTCTTTTTAAGGCAGTGAATGTATTTTCAAAAGTAAAATCGGTATAAAAATTACATATAAAGGTAAAAGGTTATTCACAGTCCATGATCACTAAGAGAGAGCTATAGCGAATAAACATCAACTTTAAATACAGTTTTTTTTAAGACTTATACAAAAAGATTGGCTTGAAAAAGAATTCTTAAGTGATATTTGTATATTTTAGTAAAATATGTACATGTATAAAGTGTTTTAAATTGCATTAATTTCTGCATGACGTGAAGGAGAATTGAATATATATTTTTGAGTATTTTTAATGTGCTTTCTTTTACTTGCAGTTGAATCTAAACGAAGAATTTTGCATTCATCCTCGGAATATGTCTTACCTTTATGTTGATTTTCCTCATTTGTTTCACTAGCGTTTTCGTGTTTTTCTGCATTGGCCGCTTCTAATTAAACAAAAATATCCAATTTTTAACATGGCAATTGAACTATTTCAGAGATTATACGGTCCATGTATCATTTGTATCATTGATTTTAGAAAAATGATTTGACCAAATGAAGAGTACCGTTTTACCGAGCTGAAAAGTCAAAGTAAATACTGTACATGCAGCAAAATCATTGTATTGACTGCAAAAAGAAATGTTGTTTACTTTACTGATTAAATAATACAAACTTATTGTTTGCTGAGGAATAATATTAATCAAACCTTTTTTTTTACTATATTTGTTTTTAGTTTCATTCTCTTTTTGAATACAATTGCAAGTCTTTCCCTGTCATAATGATAATAATTTTTAATCTTTGACTTTACCCTTTAATGATTTTTTTCCTTGGGATCGCAATTTCATGTTTTATTACATTAAATGTCAATTTTAGCAGCTGGACCTTGATGTCAGTATTTAACAAAACACGCTCTGCATTTCGATTAATCTTGAATTTTCAATTATAGAAGGTGATAAATGCCAACAACGTTTTACATTAACAGGCAAGATATTCCCCGCCCACCTTAAAACATGTGCTACACTTCTCGTGCGACCATCAAACAATTTATCAAACGCCTATCTACTCTATCTTTCTATAGTCTTGAAAAGTACACTTTTGTAGATTACGTAAGTGATTTGAATGGTAAATAATTATTTAATTATAGATATTAATTTGTGATGAAATAAATCCAGTAAAAAAAAATGGACAATTTTCATTACATTCTGCATAACTTATAAAATTAGACAAACCTACTAATATACTAAACATTAATATTTATTAACAAACATATTATAATATTTACATTAGCTGAGTTTTTCTACTAAGCAAACAGTGAAATTGATTTGAATACCATTTTCGTGTATACTCACGCGTAGAAATATACACGGAGAAATGTGCGTTAACGTGACGTCACAATGAGACAGAGACGTTAGTAAAAATAGTCCCTTAGAAATAAAATCCTTAGCCTAATGGATTCGAAACGTAACCGTGATCGGGAGGTCGTGAGTTCGTATCTCGGCCGCGACTGACCTAGTCGTTAAAATGGGTAGCAGCTGTTCCTTCGCCATGTGCTCAGCACTTTGAAGTGAAAGTTGCCGGTCCTTCGGATGAGACCTTAAAAACCGAGGCCCCGTGTCAGCGGCAGGCGTTGGCACGATAAAGATCCCTCACTGCTCAATGGCCCTGAGTGCCGAGTAAAGGTCAAAATTTG